TCTCTCTCTCTCTCTCTCTCTCTCTCACTCTCTCTCTCTCTTCCGCGCACTGTCGTTAATTGTTCTAGGGTAGCGGCGACCGACACGTGAGCCACCTGGCGACGGACCAGCGCAACGAGCTGCTCTTCACCGCTGACAGCACGGGTCAGATCAGCGTCTTCTCCATCGCCGACTACGCCTCCCCCTCCTCCTCCGCCGGGAGAGAGGACCGCGGCGGGGAGAGGGGGAGAAGGAGAAGGGTGCCTCCGCTCGTCGTGTCGTGGCGCGCACACGTCTCCTCTCTCACCGGCATGGAGATCGCTGACAGGTATACAGAGGGAGAGGAAGAATGAGGAGAGGAGAGAGGGAGAAGGAGGGGGAGGGGTAGGGGAGGAGGAGAGGAGGGAAGGGAGGGGAGGGAGAAGAAAGAGGGAATGAAAGAGGGGAGATAGGATGGGAAGGGGGGAGGTGGAAAGGGAAGCGGGGGTGAGAATGGGGAGGGGTAGGGAAGGAGGAGAGAGTAGGGAAAGGGGGAGGGGTGAGTCCTACTGGGTGATTGCTCCATCTGCCTGGTTTGATTTTACCGGTTTTCCTAGTTTGAGTTCGTTATCACGAACACGCACATGTACTCTACTGTATGTAGATGTATGCAAGAGCTAATAATTATTATCTCTATCCTTGAACCATATTATTAGCTTTTGATGTATAGTGTAAATATTTTCGTGGTGATATCCGGGACACTTATCACATCTGTACGAATACCATGTATTTCTCACTCGTTCCTTCGTGCTACGCTTTTACTTTTAACTTGGAATATTATCACGCATTTCTCCCTCGTTCTCCAAGGTACTGCACGGCCATGTCTTGGACCTTGGCTGGGCTGTCACCATATAATTATTTACGCAGATGGGGTCGTTGTCGTATCAGGTACTACAGATATGTACCCGAGGTAGTTTTAGGTTGTTTAGTATTATGTTTATATTTTTATATAATTAGGAGGTAGTTTTAGGTTGTTTAGTATTATGTTTATATTTTTATATGAGTTGTTTTATATGTTTAGGGTTAGGGTTAGGGATAGGGCTAGGGTTAGGGTTAGGGTTAGGGTTAGGGTTAGGGTTAGGGTTAGGGTTAGGGTACACTTCTGTAGTACAAGTCTGGTACACGTTGTGTATACATATATGTACCTCGGGTACATATCTGTAGTACCTGCATGATACGACAACGACTCCTTTAGCTATATTTACTCCTCGTTCTCTCAATTAAGTAACGCATTCCATCGCATGTGCGTTCGCATGGCCACGTCTCGCTTTTAACATGGATTATTACTACTCATTTCCTCGCATTCTACGCAGGTACCGCAGGCTGGTATCTTGCTACCTTTAGCTTCTTCTGTCCTTACCTTTAATCTAAGTTACTATCACATATGTCTCCATATTTCTCCTCCATTCCTTCAGGCTGGTATCTTGCTACCGTTAGCTTCTCCCCTCTCATTCCTTCAGGTAACGCATGTATCTCTTCACGTATCTCTCTCCTCATTCTATGCAGGTACCGCATGCTGGTATCTTGCTACTTTTAGCTTCTTCTGTCCTTACCTTTATACCTACTAAGTTACTACCACATATTCCCACACATATTTCTCCACGTTTCTCCTCCATTCCTTCAGGTATCGCAGGCTGGTATCTTGCTACCGTTAGCTTCTCCTGTCCTTACCTTTAATATACGAGTTACTACCACATATTCCTCCACATGTCTCCACATATTTCTCCACATTCTTCACTATTTCTCCTCCATTCCTTCAGGTATCGCAGGCTGGTATCTTGCTACCGTTAGCTTCTCCTGTCCTTACCTTTAATATACGAGTTACTACCACATATTCCTCCACATGTCTCCACATATTTCTCCACATTCTTCACTATTTCTCCTCCATTCCTTCAGGTATCGCAGGCTGGTATCTTGCTACCGTTAGCTTCTCCTGTCCTTACCTTTAATATACGAGTTACTACCACATATTCCTCCACATGTCTCCACATATTTCTCCACATTCTTCACTATTTCTCCTCCATTCCTTCAGGTACCACATGCTGGTATCTTGCTACCGTTAGCTTCTCCTGTCCTTACCTTTAATATACGAGTTACTACCACATATTCCTCCACATGTCTCCACATATTTCTCCACATTCTTCACTATTTCTCCTCCATTCCTTCAGGTACCACATGCTGGTATCTTGCTACCGTTAGCTTCTCCTGTCCTTACCTTTAATATACGAGTTACTACCACATATTCCTCCACATGTCTCCACATATTTCTCCACATTCTTCACTATTTCTCCTCCATTCCTTCAGGTACCACATGCTGGTATCTTGCTCTACTGACCGGTGCGTGAGACTATGGACCTTCGACGGTCACTACATCGGGACGTTCGGCCGGCCGGCGGCAGCTGCGGGGGCGGGGGCATGGACGCTGTGTGACCCCACGACCTACGTCCACCCTCGCGTCCCCCTCG